TTTCCCACACCAACAGTGTTAAATTCTCTACTCACTGCTTTTATTCTGTCTTTCTGTATCAGACTTAAAGGAAAATTCTCCAACACTGTTTCTTTGAATGACTCTTTCACAGAAGATTTGTAAATGGCAAAGAGTCCCTGCTTGTTAGAGGACTTGAAGGCCTTACATTTTAAAGGTTAGATCCTGAGAGAAATCTCACTCCGTTTGCACTTTTTTTTCTGTTGTTTTCTTTTTGACCCCCAATACAGGGTTTCTCTGTGTAGCCCTGGTTGTCGTGGAACTCACTCTGTAAACCAGGCTGGTGAGTTCCTCCTGCCTCTGCCTCCTGAGTGCTGGGATTAAAGGTGTGCTCCACGATTTCCTGACTTGCACTGTCCTTTTATAGGGAAGCTATTTTTTTGTTTTGTTTTGTTTTTAACTGTAGAAGCTATTGGGACTATTTTCTTTTCAAAATCTTCAGTAGAATGTGGTCAATCTGATGGTTGTTTCTTTTGTGGAAATGCTTTTCTCTAACTTACTCATTTCTTTGCTCTCCTCTATCTCCTTTATTTCCCAGTCTCCTGTCCCTTTTGCTCTGTTCTCTACTCCAGTTATTTCCTTGGCCCTGTCTTCCAGAGCACAAATCAGTATTCAGCTGTGTCCACTCCTTCACAATCCCTTCAGTCTTTATGTCCATCTTCAGCCGTCTCTTTATGTTGCAGTTTTCATCTTTCTTTCCAAAGCTTGGTCATCACCAACTGTGCAGTTATTTTTGTAACAGAACACACCAAGTTCTACTATACATTAGCTATGATATCTTTTTTTCCTATGCCTCAAGCTTACTAACCTGTAAAATGGGGACAATTGTGGAAATCAAACAAATGGACACTTATGTTTGGAACAGCAATAAGCACAGTCTAAATACTTAACAAACGCTAGCAATTACTATCATGGTAGTGAAGGGACCAGCTCCCCATTTCGGCAGCCATAACAGCTTGTCTGACCTTGCCTTGGTCACTAAGAGGCAGATGCCTGCCTCGTGGCAAGGAACCAATCAGAAGTTAGCTGGTGGTGCTATGCTTTACAGCTCTGGGTGTGCTTTAAGGACAAGTGCACAGCAATGACATGCAGAGCATAGGAACCATCCTGGGAGGGCCTATGGGCCATAACAACCAGTTGACCAATCGACACATGGCAGACCCTCCAAGCCTGGAGCCACACCAATTCTGACCCTGTGCACTCCCTAGACCCCTAGACACTCCCCTTACGCTGCCCTATAAGATCTCTATGCAGACCCTTCAAGCTGTCTTTCTAGCCATCTGCCATGGCGGGTGGATGAAAGACCTGAGCTAACATGGGGTTAGCTCGTTAAACGACTATAATAAAGCCTCATGCTGTTTGCATCAAGTTTCTGCCTCCACATGGTGATTGGGGTGGCTGAGGTCCTGGGCTGAGATCCTGGAGGCCTGAGCTTTCGGGGGTCCCTCAGTAGAAACTGGACTCCTATTCCCTGGGGGGTGGGGTTCATTAATGAGTAAGACACAGACTGGCTACATGGACATAAACAGAGGAGGCAGGAAGGTGACACATGTTGAGACTGCTTTCCCTCAGTTGGAGGGATCAGAGACTAAATGCCTTCTAGGACAAAATTGCACCCTCATCATTTTTGCTTCCTTAGGAACAACTTAACCCCTGTGCTCCTGTGACCCTCACATCCATAAAGTCCTTCTAGGCAGCCCCACTGTTCCTGCTATGGTGACCTCAGGCCTCAGACAACATCTGCAGCAGAGGGAAAGTTAGAAGGAGGCAGAGGCTGGAATTAGGAGCTCTTTAATTCCTAAGGCTTCCTCAATCATCCTAACTTTCCTTTTCACACACCCACTCTGGGCATGACAGCCTCTAGATTTGTTTTTACAGGTGTGTTTTGTCTTGTGCTTTTCATTTCCTCATTGAGTATCTATCTGCTCCTGCTTGTTTTCTAATGGCCAATAATTCTTTATTTCTGGTCAGTCAGATAATGGCATTCTTTCCGTCTCTTTTCTCCCTTTGTCTCTGTATCTCTTTCTCTCTGTATATACTCATCTTTTAAAGAATGGATTTTTCTTTTTAGTGTATTTTGAACAAAAACAGTGGGTGTAAGTGCTCTTAAGCTATAACATATTATCTTTGTTACAGTCCTACCCACTCACCACTAGGATGGGGACTTGTTTATGCAGTATTCATATTATAAATCTATGGATATTGTATATTTTTATTTAAATATTTTAATTAAGAATTTATTTTGGGAATAATATGAAATGCAAATTGTCAGGAGCTGAATATTGTGCTATTAGAAAGTGTCTTGGGGTCCAAACCTCCAGTTCCAGCAATGTGGGGGGGGCTCCGGTCTACAATTGTATTAAAGATGCTAGCTAATCTGCTATTGAATGGCATAGCCTCAGTGGAGAATGCCTCCTAGTTTGCATCTCTACAGAACTAAGCATTTGAATAGGCCTGCACCAGGGCGGAGGGGTACATGTATGGGACAAGTGAGGACACAGAGAGTTAGGAGCTATCTGGCGGAGGGGTTGACTGGAGGAGAGAGAAATGGCCTCGTGGCCAGGGAAGCACGGTTAGATTACAACCAGGAAAATGCTGAATAAAGAAGAGACTCCAGTTTTACAGCATGGAACTGAGAGCTCTCTAAAGATAACCAGATGCCTGTGTTTGGTCTTTATCGCCGAAGTTGCTGAATAAAAGAGAGACTCTAGTTTTGCAGCATGGAACTGAGAGCTCTCTAAAGATGACAAGATGCCTGTATCTGGTCTTTATCACTGTTGGGTTGCTAGAAATTTCAAAGTCCATGTTCCCCCACTCAGGCCGAACCTCGTGGCTCCTGTGGTTTGGGGCTGAGACATGTCGGCCACAACAGCAAATAAAGGGGAATTCTTATAAAAATACATAAGATCTCACTCCTTCCTTCTAATCATAATGATAGAGTTAATGTAAAGTAAAGTAGCATAACCTTACCCCTATTCTCATTCTTCTCATAATAGAAAGAGACCTAAATGCTTCAGTCCACATTCTCAGCTTTTCCAAAGGCTTGTTATCAAATATGTTCTTACTACCCATAATTTTATATCTTTATTTATATAATGTATTTCAGGCAAAAAGATTTTAATGCTGACCATACTTACTCCTCCCCTTCTTTTCATTGAACTACCAAGACTATTACAGCATGTCACTAAGCCAAAGGTGCCACTTACTATGCAAAAGGCACAGCCAGTGACTGGCACCTAAGACCAATTGATCTACCCATTACCACTATCTCCCTACCCCACGAGTGCTACTATGAAGCTATTGATTGAAACACTGCCGATCGGTTTCCATTTTCTGATTTTGGGCAGGCCAATTAAGAAAGTGAGTAATTGTGATTACGCTGCTTCAGGATCAATTACACTTGATGCAAGACAAAGTGCTCTTTTTGGAACACACAAAAAATAAATTTTGATTTAGCAAGCTTTTGTGCAAGATGAAATATAAAATAACTTAGTAATTTGTACCTTCACTGCAGAAAATATATTAATGTGTTTATAACAGAAAGCTAATTTCTACATGAGATACATTTGTCATTTTCCTAAAATTAATTTAGGAGACACTGAAAGAAAACTGTTCACATACACTACCTAATATAGGATTAAAAAAAAAAAAATCAAACACTACATTGTGAATTTCTCCCTAAAAGGTCTTGGCTAACTATAGAAGGTAAAAATACAAATGTGGTCAAAGAGACTATAAAAGAAGTTTCCGTAATTAAGGAAAAATGGAAAAATAAGAATACACCGGATTGTCAATTGGTAAGATAAAGGAGTATTTTAGGTTTTAATTTTGGTCTAATTTGGTACAAGCTTTGTCATTGGGTTCACATTGTTGAGATCATTAAAATGAATATACCTCTGGTGTTGGAAGCAAATCTATTTAGAGTGGTGTTACTCATAGCCTGTGTTCAGTAATATTGATCTGTGTTGTTTGTCTAATAGAAAAATAATAAACAATTACTAGGCAATGTTGAGAAAAGTAATCAGTTTTTATATATCACTAATAAAGCAGACCTCCCAAAACATAAAGGTGATGATCTGCATAAAATCAATGTGCATGCCTCGATGTTCATATTCATCACTGCTGGATCTTGGCAATAAAAGAAATACCATGGGCCCCAGATTCTGGGAAAATGACAAAGAAAGGTTTGCTACATTTAACCTACACATTTACTTTAAAGTGTTTTTGTGCTGACTTGCAAATTTAAATCTAACAAATTCTATCTGAAGCTGGCTAAAATTCCGACACATAGAATATTTCAATTTTTAAAGAAAAACAAGTCATTTCTGTCTAAAACACAAGTCACACCCTATATTAGAAAAACACCAGAAGGAACTAACTCAAGGGTGACTCTCAAAGCCGCATTAGCTCTCTCTAATTTCCCATAGGCCTCTGGGGTTCATCAGCAGATATGCACTACATGAAAGCAGTGGAGTCTGAAACAAAAACCTTCAGTAACATCTGGTTGTGACATCTTAAACAACTTTATAAATGTCCTCAGTTTGCAAAAAGAGGAAAAAGTGTGTGGGTTTAGAATCAATAATATTCTCCTTAAAAAACTCGCTGTATCTCAAAGTGACATCTTGCCTCAAAAAGGACCTTCTCTGAGCTATCCAGTAATATTAAAACTGTTCATGTCTCCTGAATTTTCTAAACCTATAGTATTAAAATAAGAAAAAATTATTAATAGCACCTCCCTTTAACCAACAAACTATGGATTTCAATTGCATATGGCACACTGAAATAGCATGTGTATAATAAATATTAAGTATGGTACCATAAAGTACACAATGTATAAGCAACTATCCCACAGCAGTTATATGTTGTCAAACAAAACCACATTGTTTAAATGTTTTGTCTTACAGGAAAAGCTATTGAAAGCTCATCTTTTTATTTGCTCACATTTATAGGCAATATAAAAACAGAAGAACAACTGAACTTACCACAACTGGAAACAAGCGGTCTGTGTAGAATCGCAGAAGTCAATACCCACTGATACAGTAACAGACCCCTCAGGCTCCAGAGAGTCTAGGAAGGAGGGAATTTAGATATGAAAAAATGGAGGACATGAAAAAGAGGCAAAGGAAACACTGAACATTCATGCCATCTTTGGTTAAAAAAGATAAATTTAGCCAGGCAGTGGTGGTGCACACTTTTAATCCCAGCACTCAGGAGGCAGAGGCAGGAGGACCTCTGTGAGTTTGAGGCCAACCTGGTCTACAGAGTGAGTTCCAGGACAGCCAAGGCTACATAAGGAAATCCCGTCTCAACCAAAAAAGAAAAAAGAAAGAAATTTAACTCATGACTCTGAAGTTACACTCTTCAAAGTTAACTGAGCATTTTACAATGAATCCAACACATCTATTTGCTAGACAATCTTTGATGGGCTTCACAGCATTTTCATGTATTCGTGCCAATATTTGATTCATTTATTTCTCATTGCCTTCCCCTCCCAAATGCTCCTATTTTGCTGGTCCCCTTCAATTCTTCAAACAGTCCTTCCTGTTTTCATTTCACATAAATTCTACTACCAATTAAATTCTCTCGATGTTCCCTGCTGTGGTTTGAATAAGAACAGCACCCATAGACTCATATTTGATTATGTGGTCTCCTGTTCATGGAAATGTTTGAGAAGGATCAGGAGGTGTGGCCTTGTTGGAGAAAGCAAGTCATTGGGGATAGACTTTAAGGTTCCAAAAGCCCACACCATTCCCAGTTAGCTCTTTTTCTCTCTCTGTCCCCAACTTGGGGATAAGATGTAAACTCTCAGCACCATTGCCTGCCTGTCTGCTACCATGTTCCCTGCCATGAAAGTCATGGATTCTACTTTGCTCTGGAACTCTTAGTCTCCAATTAAACTCATTGCTTTATAAGTTGCTTTGGTCATAGTGTCTTAGCACAATGATGGAAAAGAGAAAAGTAACACCTCCCTCCCTCCCTCCTTCCCTCCCTCTCCCCCGCCTCTCTCTCTCTGGAACAACGCTTTATTTTCTTATGGTTCTGAAGGCTGCACTGAGATAAAGGTGTTGGCAGTGCTGGTTCCTTCCATTGTCACTTTCCTTGGTTTGCAGATGGCTGTGTGTGTCATTGTGGTTTTCTCTGGGTGCTGAGATGTGACTGATGTCTATCTAAACTTCCTCCAATCACAATAGTTTGTTTGGATTAGAGCCCTGTGAAGCCCAAGACATTTCTTAAGAGTTCTCTTCTTCCCCACCAATGGCCTCCTTTGTCATGCTCTATAAACACACACACGCAAGACACACAGACACACACAGACACCCACCCCCCCACACACACACGAGTGCACACAAGAGGTATGAATCTTGTTCTGTTTACTGTAATGATCTCTAGTTTCATCCATTTCCCTACAGATGTTATGCCATTTCTCTTTACAGCTGAGAAAAATTCCACTGTGTGCACATATTGTATTTTCTTTATCCATTTTTGTTTAAGGAAATCTAGCCTGGTTCTACATTTTTGTTACTGTGAATAGTATGGCAAAACCATGAATGTGCAAGCGCTTCTGCAGTGTGCTGGTGGAGAGTCCTGTAGGCAAAGACCCACCAGGGTAGAGCTGGTCACAGTTTTCTGAGGAGACTGAACCCTGAGGTTACAGCAGCTATACATGTTCACATCCTATAGCAGTGCAGGGTTCTCTCTATATCCTGCTCACATTATGTGTCTTCATTCTGACTGAGGTGAGATGAGATGCTAAAGCAGTATTAGTTTGCATTTCCCTGATGGCTCAGGGTGTTGAACACCTTTTCTTCTTTTGAGAAATGAGACACACATTTCCAAGACTATCTCCTGTCTACATAGGCAGCGGAATTTTTGTTTTTGTTTTGTTTTTTTCTTAATACAGACAAAGTCTAGCTCTGGAGCCCAGGCTGGTCTTGTACTCTCTATGTAGCTCAAGCTGGACTAGAATTCCCAGAAATAATTGAGCTTTTGAAATGTATAAAAGATCATACACTCAAAATTGCTGAATACTTAGATATAAAAAGTTAAATTTAAACAATGGCTCAAAATTTCAACTAAATGCAATTCCAACTTAAAATGCAAGTTAAAGTAAATTTGGATAATGGCATTAAGTTGTGCCCACTTTACCAATTACTAGAAACAAAACAAGTCTAATTGCATTACCCAGCGACTTATCAGGGTGAAGTTAGTGGTAGGCTCAGCTGTCTTGAAAAATAATACAGTAGCATTTACATATATTTGAAAACTCTGAAGCTTCAACTATCATCTAACCAAGTACAGGAAACAAGTATCTGAAGATATAATACTATTGTCATTTTTTGTTTTGGGGGGAAGGCCAAAGAAGAAAAGACAAATAATTATAAATTTTCATTCTACTTAATATATCTTAGAATAATGGGGCATCCTAAATATGTATGAATACATATATAGCACCCATTCAAATAGAAAACATCTCCTTTTGATTTCAATTTGCTCAAAGATTTCAGAATAGCTGCAACTACATACTGCAAGACATTTATATCTAATTTGATCTGTTTCAGGTACATCATGCCATTATATTTTAGCAAGCACGCCTCTTTCAGTAGACAAACATCTAGGGTTTGTTGGTAAGTATGATTGGCTCCTTAATGCTCACCACAGAGATGACGGTAGAGACAGGACAAAGAATAATTCAATAAGCTGCTATACAAAAATTAAGTTTATCTCTCACAGGCCCAATGAAGACTAGGCATTATAAGACAGCCGGTGTTTGAGACACATTTTAAAATGTTACTGGTTTGCTCTGTGTTATCTATGTTGGTTTTCTGATTCTAGTTTGAATTTCATTTGCTTATACAACTTACATTTTACTGTAGTGCTATTAACTTTTCTGATTCTAGTTTGAATTTCATTTGCTTATACAACTTACATTTTACCGGATTGCTATTAAACCTGCCACTTAAATCTTTGTCAATCAGTATTTGTTTAGGGCTACAATCATAATCATTCATACATACATACATACATACATACATACATACACACACACACACACACACACACACACATACATACACACACACAGAGTCATCAGCTCACAGCTGCCAGTCTCATTGCTTAAGGCTAGTCTTTTCTCCTTCCCAAGCAGAAGATGGGGCCCAGGTAAACAAGCATTTTACTTGAGTCACATCCTGGCTATCCTTTAGTGAACCCCTAACACCTTTTCACACACTGTAAACATACTGTTCCTTGGCTTGTTTGTATACACCACAGTGGGTAGCAAATTCTGCCATCTCTCAAACATGACTGCATTCATAATTCAGATCTCCTGTATTTCATTTGAGGAAGTGACAGTTTTCAGATGCCCCACTGCTAGCACTCTGGCACTGCCTGGTTCTGTCTGGGTGTTATGATTATGAACTGTGAACTTAGTGACATGCTAATTCTGAAGGACAGTTATGATCAATGGCATGTTTTACTATATGAACGCTTCAAGAGCAAAATAATCAGCATAAAATTACTCATATAATGGATTTTTACAATATTTGGACACTGTTTCTGAACTTACTGTTGTGCAATGGAAGTAGTCTAATGCTAGTCCTTATGTCCTCCCACCCACCTCTTAAATCCCTTATATTTTTAATTTCTTTGGGAAACTAGGCAAATAAGTTCTAATATTTTTTTATAAGGAATTCAGCTCCCTGCTAATGGAAAGGCAAAATCCAGGGATTTGAATGCAAATCCCTAGGTGATTAGTAATAATACTGCCAGGCCCTTTAAGATGGGCATACATTTAATGAATAAAACATCTTAATTCCCTTATTTCACAAAAACATGAAAACAAAATATTTGGTTTTGCTGTATTCTTCAGATGACTTTGGAGGTCTATTTTAGATATAATTCCACACCATCACTGGCTGTAATCTATTGGGGACAGGGTCTGGGCTGCATTACACATGTGGAAAAGAACTCTTTCCCTAAAAGCATTCAATTGATGCCCAAAAATGAATGAAATATCATAGCCATAAAAATTTTCCTCAGAATGAAAAGCCTGTAAGTGGTACTGAGGCAACGGCATTCATATTTTAATGCCGCATTAATGTCAGACTATGAAATTTATTGTATTTATTTCTTCTATTCTACATAGGCCAATAAAAGGTCAACTCATCAACTCATTATGCCAGCCCAAGGAAGCATTAATACTGTTCTACTGTTTTAACCTTTGGATAACATTTCCAGCCACAGACAACCCATACATCAGCTATTCGACATTGCTTAACTAAACTAATTTTTAAACTAGGTAAAAAGGGCTAGATTGAAAGCTGTTAAAAAAAATCACAAATTGGTATATTCTGTGATTCCTTAGCAATATATCTAATTTGCAAAATAATCTGATAAAAATTAGGATACTGTGTACTATTTAAATTCTCTTAATTATCAAAGCATAAAATTCTGGCATTTGGTGAGGTTTGAATAAACTAACTCCACATCACCCTGTTGTTTAGGAAAGTCTACTAGACTTTCATTAGAAACCATTATTTCCCTTGTAAAAATATCACACATACAAAGTATGATGCTATTTACAAAATGCCTCATGGGAAGTCCCACAATGCCAGGGTCAGATGGAGAAAACAGAATAGTTATGTGCAACAGAGTAAGGAAGAAAAGTCATTGACTTTGTCCTGGGCCAAGGGCTTTACTCCCAGAAAATGTCAGAAAACAAAGCTGATACTTCAAGGCCACAGTGACAGAAATCTACATCCCTTTTTGTTTCTGTTAGATACAGTCTGAATAGCTCAGAACACCCTCCTGTAGCTGAAGGTGATTTTGAATGCCTGACCTTCTTGCTTCCACCTCCTGCTGGGGTCATACCCAGGGCCTCATGTACACCCCAGACAGTCATATCATACCTAGGGCCTCATGTACACCACAGACTGTCACATCATACCAGGGCCTCATGTACACCCCAGATTATCACATCATACTCAGGTCCACATGTACACCCCAGATTGTCACATCATACCTAGGGCCTCATGTACACCCCAGATTGTCACATCATACCCAGGGCCTAATGTACACCCCAGATTGTCACATCATACTCAGGTCCTTATATATACCCCAGACTGTGCTGATATCATGCTTGTACAAATAAAGCCTGTCTCGGGGTCAGAGAACATAGCTTGCCATTAGCTAACCATAGAGGTCCAGAGGTCTGTACAGACAGACAGGAAGTGAGGTAGCTGGGCAGAAACAGAATATAAGCAGGAAGAAACAGGAAATCACTCCTTTGTCTGCTGAGACGCTAAGGAGGTAAGGTGTGTTGTGGCTTGCTCCTTCTCTCTGATCTCTCAGCATCTTCCTCTATATCTGACTTCGGTTTTTTTATTATCTGGACCAATTAAGAGCTCTGTTTACACCAGACAGTCACATCATACCTAGGGCCTCACATATACCTTAGACCATTACAAACACACATCATCAATAGAGATTAAGGCTGAAGCTCCTCCCAACTACACCTTTGGAATTGTTTTCACTCATACAAACTAAATATTTTAAGAAAATACTTAAAAATGGCTAGGGGTACAATAGATGCCTAGATGCCTCTCTGATGGGCATCTAGGAAGTACATGCTGTGTGGGAGGCAATCAGGATCCAGTGGCACATGCCTCCTGCATGCAGGAGGCCACCACTGCTTGCTGTACACAGAGACAGGGGCCACAACTGCCTGCTGCATGCAGAGACGAGGTCCACCACTGCTGTATCATATGCATTATTGTAAGAAAACTGAGGTTTCCCCTTTCTGTTTTTGAGCATGAAAACATCTTGATTCTTAAATGGCAGTAACAGGTTAAAGATATTTAAAAGCACAATAAATACAATCACACACCACAGGGTCCTCTATACCCTATGCATGAATAGGAAGACAATAAAACAGTATTCATCTGTGTTCCCTTTACTTTTCAGTTTATGGAATATAAAAGGAATCAGGATAGGGTCTTGAATTATGAGAGGTACTATATTCAAAAAGGCAGACTGATTTTCCTGTTTTTAATACAAAATAAGCTATCTAAAATGAAGTGAGAAAGAAAGATGAGCAGGAGAGGTGAGAGAAGGTGATGCAGATAGGAGAGAGAGATGGAGATTTTGATTCCTCAGACCCATCCTCTCATTACTACTGGGGTTATGACTGCTGGAACCTGATTCAGTAAGGGCAAAGAAACATATTTCTCTTACATGATAAATTCAAAGAAAAGGAAAATGGCTGGAAATATAGCCTAGGATCCTGGGGAAGGAACACACACACACACACACACACACACACACACACACACACACACACTCCTGGGGAAGGAACACACACACACACACACACACACACACACACACACACACACACACACACACACACACACACACACACGGCACTCTCACAGTAAAATAATGCTGTATTCTATCTTTCTCTGAGACTATCTGTTCTATAAATGAAAACATTTAGTTACCAAGTTTCAAAAGAGAATTAGTATTTACCTATTGGATGAAAAACATGCATTTGCATGCCTACGGGAAGCTTCTTTTCCCCTATGTGGATATTTTCTATCTTTCGATCAGAAGTATTTTTCAGTGTTATTTGTACAGAGACCATCTTGTCACCGAAAATGCAAGGCTGTCTTGGGAAGCAGTACCAGGCGGCCAGTCCTTTCCCACTCATTCTGTGAAGCAGCTCATGTGTTTTTGTTGGCACAAAGACAGGTGTACTGACCTACGCACATGGGAGGAAGAAAGGGTGACAGTTATTACTTCTTTTGGAAAACAAGACAATATTTATGACATATGGTTGTCCTAAGTTATTATACAAAACACAGGACCAAACTTTAAAAGATACCACACATAGACACTAGTCAGAATGATGTAAAATTACAAAGTAAATGCCTTCAAAGTAGTATTGAAACTTTATTCTACTCTGCAGGTAAATATTAAAATATTTTTAATAATATGCAACAAAAGCAACCCCATCATATATATTTTTGGGAGGAGGAAGACAGGGTCTCACTATATAACCTAGGTGAGCCTCCATCTTGGGATCCTCTGGGATCCAGCTGGATGACAGAAGTAGGTCTCATGCTTTGCATATGTAAATATTTTCCTTTTACAAACAGTATATGAGCTTTGTTTTTACTTTTTACCCTAAACATTCCATACATGGCCCTCCTGATAACTTTATAATTAGTTTTGATAGTTTTTCAGTTGGTGTTCTTGGATGTTTCAACCACATGGCATCCCTGCCAATAATGAACATCATGTGCCTTGCTTCTCAGTTCTGACTCCTTAACTTAATCTACAGGTTCTTCTGCAGTCTGTGATCCTTCAGCCTCAACCTCTTGAGTCCTGGGATTATGGCATTCACTGTCATGTGTGGTCAACCAGGAACATTTTTTCCCTTTGAACTTCGTCCACTATGAACTTCGGCTTAAGGTGGCTTCATCCTTTGTTTTACTGGTTAAAATGCTCTTTCCTATTGTGATGATTAATCTTCACATAACTGGAGGGGATTAAGTCACCTAGCAGACACACGCTGAGGAAGGAAAACCTACCCTGCAGGAGTTGAATGCTACACATCCCTGCTGCCATGCTTCCCACCACAATGGACTATGTCTGCTCTTACACCATGAGCCAGAGATCCCTGGTCTTCTAAAATGTTTCTGTCTAGTGTTTTGTCACAGTACCAAGAAAAATAACTCTGCTTTGAGATCAGGTAATCTTCATTTAAATTCCTTGGGTACTTTATTGGGTAATCATCTCTTTGTACCTCCACTGAACATCTGAGTTTAAATTCTTTCCTTTACTGTATTTTAATTGAAATCACAAACAGCAAGTGTCAGAGAGAGAGAGAGAGAGAGAGAGAGAGAGAGAGAGAGAGAAGCTATCTACTACAAAACCACAGACAGCAATCTTTCCTTTGAAAATTTAAGCACTGCAGCACACCAGGCTTGCTACAAATAACTGATGACAATAAATAACTTAATAATTTTACATTCAATGAAAGTATCATACATATGAAATGATAAATTGCCTACTATATATCATTAAAACAGTATTCCATAAAAGATCAGCTAGTATCAGAATTTAAAGTAACTGTTGTAAAATTCTGTAAATTTATTTGCAACATATATTTTAAAAAAACCAGCTGCTTAGATCTTAAATTTTGTTCAGAATAGAGAAACTGGCCTCTTCCACTTAGGCTTTCTGATGGCAATAATAAATGTTCTACTATTAGTTTTACTTTGGTTTTCTGCAGTGCTAAGGATCAAACACGACCTCAAAAGTGCCAGGCAAGCACTGGCGTCTAAGTTTCTACGAGACTCCCTTTCTCTTAGGCTCAATGATATGCACCTCTAAACACAACTGTGGAGTGTAAGATAATAAGGTCACAAGCCTGGGGTCTTCCTGTGGAACACAGCAAGACCCTGTCTCAAAAGTATTTTTAAAATTTTTAATAATTTAAATGTTGCTCCACGTTTTCAGAACCTGTTTAGCACAGACCCAAACAGCAATGCTCAGTGTAAATACACTCCAAGCTCAGTATAAACACACTCCAAGCTAGAATGGTGACTGGAACAAGGGAGTGTTCATATGTACATCGGGTTCAGAGACACTACTGAAGTTATAACAACCAACCTAAACACAAGCCCTCAGCTGATGAGTGGTATGTACATGTTGACTCTCTAATTAGATAGCAAGCATGCCTGAGCCTGAGCAGGTCACTTTTGACCTATATCATGTCTGAGATGCACCTATCATCAAGTCAGGGGATGCTGATGTAGGAAGTTTCTCTTTTCTGGAAACCCATAAACTCTGGCCTGCACACAGCATGGGGAACACAAACACAATGCAGAAAGGAAGGTGACTTGAAGGCTAGAGGAGCAAGAGTGCTGTCGTTTGCAGCTTGCATCCCATCCTGAAGGCCCCATGTTAAAGGCAAGGTCATCAGTTTGGCACTATGGGAAGGGTTCGATATCTTTAAGAGTGGGGCCTATTTCAAGGTTTAAGTCATTGAGAGCATGTATTGTAGTTTTAGCAGTCATCTTTCTTTGGACCCCAGGGCTATCTCTCCATAGATAAGGATGAGTCATCTCAGGGCTTTCTAAGAAGGACACCATTATTTCAAACACAAAGCAGCCATTAATATCACTCATTCATTCTCGCTTTCATCTCACATTTATTGATGGACTTTGCTAATGATACTCTAAAACAAAGTATTTCAGAGAACCGAGGAAACCAATCAGTGTGATAAGTGCCACAGCACAGGTAGGCTAGGTGGCTTCAGAGCAGGCAGAGATGACATCATAGGGGAGATGACAGAACTGGGCTACTTGAGTGAATTAAGTAAATCATACCAGTGCTCTCTGCTTCTACTGTTGCCACCCTCTTCTGAGCCCCCGCCACCACTATCTGTAGTATTCTGGTAGCTGTCTAATCAGTCTAGTGGCTCCTGTTTATGCATTCTACCAAACAGGCACTATGTTCAGTATATTTGAACACAGTGGCCAGAACCAATCCATTATGATAAGGTAGCATTGTATCCAGTTTAATGGAGAGTAAGAGTAAATACTCTTTACAAAAAAACCCAAAGCTTCAAGGTCCCTGTTGACTGCATTTCCTACTACTCTTAACACCATTGCTCACTCTATTCCAGTCCATCTACCATGATTCCTTGCTCCTTTAACACAACAGCCACACAGCCATACTTCTACCATATGCCCTTGGTATTTATAATTTGCTTTGCTTGGAATGTACTTTCTCTATATATCCACCTGACTCAGTTGTGATACATCTTTGCTCCAATGTTACCTTCCTAATTTAATAAAACTTCTATCCCCCATATTCTCCCTTATATTTTCCCATTGTCACTTAATACTATGTCCCGTCCCTCCCACTTGCTTTATTTTGATACAAGATCTCTAAGTATCCCTGGAAGGCCTGGGATGTACTTTGTAGACCAGACTGACCTAGAACTTATAGAGATCTACCTGCCTCTGCTTCCAGAGTACTGGTACTAAATGTGTGGACCACAAGTACAGCATAGTTATAACACAATACATAATTTACCTAGTATATTTATTATTTGGCTTCCTAGTCACTCCTTACTTTAAAACATATTTTTTTTTTCCATTTTCAGAACTCAAATCATAATTTCATCATTTTAAATATAACAAAATTTCTACCTCCAGTGTTGGTTCTAACTATACTTTATTTAATGCTAAGTGTTAAAATACAGCATTTTCTAAAAATATCACAGGCTTACTGGGGCACACTGTGGTGATAAGTGGAGAATCGTTAGCATCAACATTTATTAGTTTTAGGAAATGATTTAAGATTTCTATTATATGTAATTTCTAATATATATGTGGAACTACAAACAAAAGAAAAAGACTACTTCTAAAGGTGTACACAAAGAAAAATTTATTGATGAGAAGGAGTTCTATGAAACAAACATTAGAAACATCTAGATTCAGGTTAAAAAATGATTTTAATAAAATCTGTACCACCCAAGACAGAATGAAAAATAATGCTTAAAAACACTATTTTTTAAATGATTTATTTTTATTTTATGCACTGGTGTTTTACCTGCATGTATGTCTGAGTGAGGGTGTCAGATCCCCTGAAAAATGGAGGTACAGACAGTTGTGAGTTGCTATGTGGGTGTGGGGAACTGAATCTGGGTCCTTTGGAGGAGTAGTCATCTATCCGGCCCCAAAACACTAGTCCTAATTTTGTGATAACAAACATTCTAGAAGCTAAAAGCTTGCTCAGATGACGCTGATGACACAGATGACACAGCCATCCTTACAAGGATTCCTGAGGAGGTAATTAGTTCACCAGCTGTAGTGACACCACAATAAAAAACCTCCCACAGAGGGAGGAGAACAAAAGCGTAAGTATCAGTGAGATGATCCCCTACAAATCTCTCCTTAGCACATGTTTAAATAATAAAAGTCGTGTGTGTACCTTTGGATGGTTTATGAAAATAAGCAATCAATTCTGCAGCCACAACATTATTTCTAAAGGAAATCTATGTGACTCATGACGCCTGTAGATACACAGAGACAAAGCACACATATTTTATCAGTTTATTACAGTAAGCAAATAAGCGTGGAGTGAGAGAGCACATAACTGTCGACTTAGTGCTTCCTGAAACATTTATAAGAGCTGTTATCTCCCTAATAACAGACAGACAGCGTGCGATTTTAGAGAGGAGAAAAGCTTCATATTTTTTAACACTTCACTAAAAAGTAACTGAAGAGTGTAAAATGAAAAATACTCTGTGCAGTTAGCAGGTAATGGACCATATTATCAGCTCAAGTTAGATTTATAGGATACAAACTAGTCACTAATAGTTATTTTATGACATAGCATGTCTGCTTTTTCTTGAGATTATTAAGATTAAAGTTGTAAAACTTATTTTGAACATAGCTGTTCAAAATGATTGAATTATAAAATTTGAAATGAGACTTGAAAAATAAAACACAGAGTATCAAGTGAGTGGCTTCTCCCAAGCCTCCTTCAGCAGCCGCATTACTATTTCAGAGATGACATCTCCACATAAAGCTTTATGAAAACCATGTTTTCCAACCTTTTATGCTTTAATCGTATTTAGTTACACAATCATCTTTAAGTATTATCAATCTGTTCTGTCTTTAAATTTCAAAAAAATGAACAGCTGCAATATATAAACTGCTCTCTTTGTGTCTTGTTTTGTTT